ATATATACACATATATATATATATATATATATATATATATATATATATATATATATATATATATATATATATATATATATATATATATATATAAGAGAATATGTGTTTTGTTTATTTGTTTGTTTATCTGTCTGTCCATGATTAGAGGAGGAGTCGATGCTATTAAGAGGGGGTCGGGAAAAATAGTCCCCTCCCCCGTCCCCTCAAATATCTAATTGGTGATAGGTGACTGGCAAAGCCTTTATATTTCTTCACTTTCCCGAGACAGAGATACAGGGAGAAAATGAAAGAGAAGAGGGAGAGGGGGTATGTTTGAAGATAGGGAAGAAAGGAGGAGATACGGGGATGTTTTAAAAGAGGGAAGGAGAGAGGGAGAGAAAGTTGAGGGGGGGCGGAGATTGGGAGAGAGAGAGGGAGGGAGAGTGAAGAGTGAAGGTGAGGAGGAGAGAAGAGAAGCGATTTTGGTGGAGAAGGTTGGAGAGAGAGAGAGAGATGGGAATAAAGGGGAAGAGGGAAAGAGAGATGAGGGAGATTGGGAGATATAGGGAGGGGGGAGTGAGACCCGGGCGCAGCGGGATACCACCCTACTCCCCTACTCTATATTTATAACAGAGAATGTTTATTTATATAAGGATAGAGGCCTTGGGCTTGGGGCTAGCCTCACGTAATTATGTATGGATAGAAGCCAGGAGCTTGGGGATAGCCTCACGCAACTATCCAAGGATAGAGGCCAGGTGCCTGGGGTTAGACTCACGCAACCATCCAAGGATAGAGGCCAGGTGCTTGGAGCTAGCCTCACGCAACTATGTATGAATAGAGGCCATTTGGATGGGGCAGGCCTCACGCAACTATATATAGATAGAGGCCAGCCTCACGCAACTATATATGGATAGAGGCCAGCCTTACGCAACTATATATGGATAGAGGCCAGTTGCTTGGGGCTAGCCTAACGCAACTATCCAAGGATAGATTGCAGTTGCTTGGGGCTAGCCTCACGCAACTGTGTATGGATAGAGGCCAGTTGCTTGGGGCTAGCCTCACACAACTAGGTATGGATAGAGGCAAGGTACTTGGGGATAACTTCACAAAACTAGACCATGGATATAGGCCAGTTACTTGGGGATAACCTTACGTAACTATCCAAGGATAGAGACCAGTTACTTGGGCCTAGCCTCATGCAACTATCCAAGGATAAAGGCCAGATGCTTGGGGCTAGCCTCACGCAACTATCAATGATGAATTGTGATTGTATGATAAATGTTATTGGGGGATTGAGGTCGATATTCATGGACCTCTTTAAGGAGGCTCGGCTCATATTCCGAAATCCCAGCGACTTCTATGACGTCTGAACTCGTGATTTGATTCTCCATTGAGTACTGACATGAGATATTCTAGATGTTATCGACGTTATTAAACGTTACTTGAACATTTTGTCAACTTGTTAGCGAGAGAGGAGAGAGAGGGAGGGAGGAAGGGAGGTAGAGAGAGGGAGGGAGGGAGGGAGGGAGGGAGGGAGAGAGGGAGGGTGAGCGGGAGGAGAGTAGGGTGGGAAAAAGAGATTGTGAGAAGGGGGTGATAACAGAAGGGGAGAAGAAGAGAATGGGAGGAAGGAAGTACAGTGAGGTGAGAGACCAGAAGGGAGGGAGGGAAGAACTGATAATGGGAAAGAGAGAGATAGAACAAAATGGAAAGAGGTAGTGCAAACGGGAGACAAGAGAGTGAACGGAAGGAAGGACGGAAGGAAGTAAAATGAGAATTTGAGGGAGAGAGAACGGGAGGCAGAAAGAATTGGTGAGAGGGAACAGAGGAGAGATAGGTGGAGGGAGAAAGAATAGAAGAGAGAGAAGCAGAGAGAACGAGCAGGAACAAGATTAATCTGACCATAAATGTAATACCATTAATTGTTGACGGATACTTATCAACTGGCTGCTAAGTCATGTAGGAATAGTAGGGAATGACATTGCAGATGAGGCTGCAAAACTTGCAACTAAGAGAAGAAAATAGACATTTACATAACACAGAGTCTAAACTAGATTAAGACGAAAATTGGTGCAGTGCATATTTTGGGCGCTGGGCGAGACAACGGTAGAGACGGAGAGAGAATTGGAAGGAGGGAGATTAGGAAGTGAGCGAGATTGAGAAGAAGGAAGAATGGGAGAGAGATGGAAAGACAAAGAGTCGGAGGCCCGAGCATCGCCGTGAACCAAGTTTTAAATACACATCAACGACCTGACAGGAATTTGGGTACCTCATATTAATATTTGGTGATTTCGAAATATTAATGAGAAATATCAGAATAGAGTTGGTTTACTATGTACGAAATAGCGAAATAGATGACAGAAAAGAGAAGAAGCGACCCATTTTTTAGAGAAGGTTTAAAAAATGGCTACTGGGCTACAATCCAGACAAATGCAAAGTTATAAGGGTAAAAACATATCAAGATCCTTAAACAGTACAATACAATAATTAGGAGAAAGGCCTCGGAGGAGAGATATGAACTCCCATGACAGTGGCACAAATTCGCTGAATAACGTGCATAGACTGAATCTGCACAGATACGAATAGTCTTGAGGAACTTGGACAACGGAGCCTTCTACAACCTATGTAAGACCAACTCTTGAGTATGCAGTTGGAATATCCAACTGAAAAAACCAAGTGTAAAAAATATATCAAAATTAGGCAGTCATTCATTATTTTTTTTAATTATCCCTCATTCTTAGGCTTAGGGAACTAAGCTTCGAGGGAAACTGCGGGCTGGACCTCTCCCACACTGGACCTCCCCACACTGGACCTCCCCACACTGGACCTCCCCACACTGGACCTCCCCACACTGGGACCTCCCCACACTGGACCTCCCCACACTGGACCTCCCCACACTGGACCTCCCCACACTGGACCTCCCCACCTGGACCTCCCCACACACTGGACCTCCCCACACTGGACCTCCCCACACTGGACCTCCCCACACTGGACCTCCCCACACTCCCCACACCGGACCTCCCCACACTGGACCTCCCCACACTGGACCTCCCCACACTGGACCTCCCCACACTGGACCTCCCCACACTGGACCTCCCCACACTGGACCTCCCCACACTGGACCTCCCCACACTGGACCTCCCCACACTGGACCTCCCCACACTGGACCTCCCCACACTGGACCTCCCCACACTGGACCTCCCCACACTGGACCTCCCCACACTGGACCTCCCCACACTGGACCTCCCCACACTGGACCTCCCCACACTGGACCTCCCCACACTGGACCTCCCCACACTGGACCTCCCCACACTGGACCTCCCCACACTGGACCTCCCCACACTGGACCTCCCCACACTGGACCTCCCCACACTGGACCTCCCCACACTGGACCTCCCCACACTGGACCTCCCCACACTGGACCTCCCCCACACCTCCCCCACTGGACCTCCCCACACTGGACCTCCCCACACTGGACCTCCCCACACTGGACCTCCCCACACTGGACCTCACCACACTGGACCTCCCCACACTGGACCTCCCCACACTGGACCTCCCCACACTGGACCTCCCCCACACTGGACCTCCCCACACTGGACCTCCCCCCACACTGGACCTCCCCACACTGGACCTCCCCTCCCCACACTGGACCTCCCCACACTGGACCTCCCCACACTGGACCTCCCCACACTGGACCTCCCCACACTGGACCTCCCCACACTGGACCTCCCCACACTGGACCTCCCCACACTGGACCTCCCCACACTGGACCTCCCCACACTGGACCTCCCCACACTGGACCTCCCCACACTGGACCTCACCACACTGGACCTCACCACACTGGACCTCCCCCACACTGGACCTCCCCACACTGGACCTCACCACACTGGACCTCCCCACACTGGACCTCCCCACACTGGACCTCCCCACACTGGACCTCCCCACACTGGACCTCCCCACACTGGACCTCCCCACACTGGACCTCCCCACACTGGACCTCCTCCCACACTGGACCTCCCCCACACTGGACCTCCCCACACTGGACCTCCCCACACTGGACCTCCCCACACACTGGACCTCCCCACACTGGACCTCCCCACACTGGACCTCCCCACACTGGACCTCCCCACACTGGACCTCCCCACACTGGACCTCCCCCACACTGGACCTCCCCACACTGGACCTCCCCACACTGGACCTCTCCACACTGGACCTCCCCCACACTGGACCTCCCCACACTGGACCTCCCCACACTGGACCTCCCCCACACTGGACCTCCCCCACACTGGACCTCCCCACACTGGACCTCCCCACACTATACCTCCCCACACTGGACCTCCCCACACTGGACCTCCCCACACTGGACCTCCCCACACTGGACCTCCCCACACTGGACCTCCCCACACTGTACCTCACCACACTGGACCTCCCCACATTGGACCTCCCCACACTGGACCTCCCCACTGGACCTCCCCACACTGGACCTCCCCCACACTGGACCTCCCCTACATTGGACCTCCCCACACTGGACCTCCCCACACTGGACCTCCCCACACTGGACCTCACCACACTGGACCTCCCCACACTGGACCTCCCCACACTGGACCTCCCCACACTGGACCTCCCCACACTGGACCTCCCCACACTGGACCTCCCCACACTGGAGCAAGGAAGGAAGGAACGTGTGACATTTTACGTATAAGATTATAAAGGGATTTGAAAAAAGCAGTCAAGGAGGTAGAGCTAAAAGCGAGAAAACTGAATAACAGAACACAAATTAGTCAAATATATCTTAAGGAAGTTCTTCAGTGTAAGGTTTGTTACTAAATGCAATGAGTTCGATGAAAAAGTGGTTGAAGATGACAATATATAACTTGCAACGAGAAAACAAAGTTCATTATACCAGAAATAGCTGATTAGGCGGGGCTTGAGAGCTAGCGTTCGTTCCTTCAAGCACATCTAGGTGAGTATATTAAGGTGAACACACAGTGAGATTAGACGTTACAAAGAAAACGTCAAACTTACATGTTGATGGGGGATTTATTTTTCCTGAGGCCATTTTGAATGGTGACACATGACTTAGACATATTTTTACAACAGTTCAAGTTGGCGTCCGACTCTTGGGTACAAGTGTAAGGTAGTGTTGGTCTGCGATGCTGTACGTCTTAGCCGTATACGCCGGCCCGGATGCCGCCTCCGACGCCGATGTGGTACCCGATTCCGAACCTCAGGCCGAGACCGTGACCGCCTATGCCGTGGCCGAGACCGACACCAACGTGGTAGCCGAGACCGACGTTGAGGCCGAGGTCGTAGCCGAGGCCCAAGCCACCGATGAGAGGTCCTGGGCGAGGGTCCGCCAGGGGGCCGGGCCTCGCGGCCACCACACCCACCAACATCACCGCCATCTGACCAAATGTTCATCATTAGCTTATGACAGAAAACGGTATTACAGGCAGGGATCTGTAATATTACAGGTAAGACCTATTTAGGGACCTATTAATATTACGATATTACAGGCCATTCTAAGACGGTCTGCTTTGAGTGACATAACTTACCTCTAACGTCCTTCTTTAGATACAAAATCCTGTAACTAACTAAGCAGTTGTAAACAGAGTCTGGTCACAGTCGTAATGTCTCGGGTTCGATTCCCGTTTCGAGCAAATGCTTTGGCCACCATTTCCATATGCCTGATGTCTCTGTTTATCTAACAGTAAACAGTAGACTTAGGCAACAGTTTTGGTCTGCATCCTGAGGAAACTCGTCAGGTGGCGTAGTGGGACCAAGCTGCCAAACAGCTCTTCGCCCCTGATTATAAAACAATGGGATATGCATGCAGGGTTTTAAATATATAAAAAAGAACTCGAAATAATGGATAGATTTGTTGATTTACGGAACAAATTTCCAGGTAACGTAACAGACGTGGGGCGTTGGATTGTTTCAAGGGCAGGTTACACATATGTAAAATTCTGTTTGGGTTGACATATATATATTGGCTGTCTCGTATGAGCCAATAGACCTATTGCAGTACCTTTAATTCCTTTAATTTCCATAGCCATAACTTCTTATGGCTATGGAAAACTATATGTTGCAAAATTGCTATTGTACTATTAAATTACGTAACTTAGAGCAATTTAGGAAATAATAATGAACTCTGAAGCATTATTTAGGTATAAATGAATCTAGTTCCACTAACCTGAGCATTATTTAGTTGTACACAGTATTACTCTACCCAAGAACATTGACATGCTTATAATAACATTAGGTAATCAGCGTGACGTAGAAAATTCATTGCTGGCAGACATTCTCATGTCATTCAAGACGTTTAACTTACTGCAGAACCTCGTTAGTATAATTTGTCATCATAATACATTCTCTCCTTGTGCTTACTGAAGTTTCCTGTGTTTCCTCACTGTAACTGAACTGAATCAGCTAAAGGGGGCATCGTTTCGGTTTCGGAAAAGTTGTTCAATGTCAACCAATATTTTGTGACTAGTTGTATATAAAAAAGGCTGCAATTGTTCCAAGTTTCAGTACTGCAGCGTAAATAGAAAGGGAGAGATATTTTTTTGTTTTCATAATTTTTTGCACATTTACAAGTGTGAATAAAAAAGAAAAACTTTCAGATATAATCATTCTATGACACTTTTCTGACACATTAGCATATAATAAAGGTTCGTAACTTATGGAGTTCCCAAAACATATTTAGTTTTCCTAATACAAATATTCAAAGTTCGCCCAAAAAATTATGCAAATATGTCATGTTTATTGCTATTTTAAAATCAATAAATAAACTTAGGACAAAACGATAAATTGGGAGTTTAGAGACATACACTTTACATATAATGTGTAAGTTTCATGTAAATTGAATAAAAAATAAAAAAGTTATTCAAACATTTTAAATATATAAGAAAATAATAAAGTCTAAGGTGCTGCCATCTGTGGCTGAGGTTGACATCAACCAGTTTTCTCCAAAACTGACACCCTTACAGATAAGCTTATGTGCAGTCAGGTGTATAAGTTTCATGAAAATCGTCCGATAAAAAAAAAAAAAAAAAAATTGAAAATTTGTTTGGAAAAAAAAAAGTTTTTAACTTAATTATTTTTCTAATAACACTAATTTTATTATTTTTTTAATATATGCTATTGAGATAGCCGAGAGTCATAGATATGATTTCAGATGACACTTGTGTTTGATAATCGTTTTTTGACCATTTTGGAATAATTTTGAAACCTACTTCAATATTTTTTTTCTCCCTTCCTATTTATGCTACGATGCTGAGACTTGGGGCAGATGAAACACTTTTCATGTACAACTCGTCAAAAAAGTTTGATTGAAATCGAACCAGTTTTCATTTATTACATATTTTGGGCAAATTGGGAGGTAATGCCCTCGCTCAAGTGGTTGAGGCTTTTGGTGCTTACCAGGAGGTTCATGTCTGCTGGGCGCTGCTTCCCTGCTGGAGGAGGACGGTGGGTGTGTGTGAGCGAGGGGATGTTCCGGCACTCTTATACTGGGCTGTGCGTGAGCTGGTAACGCTGTGACCCTGAGGACGCCAAGCCATTGACAATGATGCGCTGGTTTAGTGACTAGCGGAATTCAAGGTCGCCCAGACGGTCGAAGCGTTGTATTCACAAAATTTATATTTCAAACAACAATGTAGATTTCAATAAAATACACAAGAAGTTCAAACCAAATACTCATCTGTTGGGTGATTATTTGGATTGTCACTCATATATCTCTCTCTCTCTCTCTCTCTCTCTCTCTCTCTCTCTCTCTCTCTCTCTCTCTCTCTCTCTCTCTCTCTCTCTCTCTCTCTCTCTCTCTCTCTCTCTCTCTCTCTCTCTCTCTCTCTCTCTCTCTCTCTCTCTCTCTCTCTCTCTCTCTCTCTCTCTCTCTCTCTCTCTCTCTCTCTCTCTCTCTCTCTCTCTCTCTCTCTCTCTCTCTCTCTCTCTCTCTCTCTCTCTCTCTCTCTCTCTCTCTCTCTCTCTCTCTCTCTCTCTCTCTCTCTCTCTCTCTCTCTCTCTCTCTCTCTCTCTCTCTCTCTCTCTCTCTCTCTCTCTCTCTCTCTCTCTCTCTCTCTCTCTCTCTCTCACACACACACACACACACACACAGAAGACAGAAGAGAAAGGGGAGACATGATCACTACCTACAAAATTCTCAGAGGAATTGACAGGGTTGATAGAGATAAACTGTTTAACACGGGTGGTACGCTAACAAGGGGACACAGGTGGAAACTGAGTACCTAAATGAGCCCCAGTGACGCCAGTAAGAACTTAATCAGTGTCAGAGTAGTTGACAAATGGAATGCACTAGGAAGTGAAGTGGTGGAGGCTGACTCCATACATAGTTTCAAATGTAGATATGGTAGAGCCCAGTAGGCTCAGAAATCTATACACCAGTTGATTGACAGTTGAGGGGCGGGACCAAAGAGCCAGAGCTCAACCCCCGCAAGCACAACTAGGTGAGTACAACTAGGTGAGTACACACACACACCCACATGCCGTCACGCCAGGCAGGACAGGATGCCACACCCTATCCAATACACTTCAATAGTTACTTTATTCTAATCCTCTGTATAGTTTCTACAGCCTTATTCTTGTGTCCTAAGTATAGTTTCTAATACTGTTCCTGCTGCTTAACCCTCGCGCTAGACCAGTATCGTCCCTACAGCCTTATTCTTACGATGCATATTCTGTCTGAATGCAGGCGATGAGTCACAATAACGTGGCTGAAGTATGTTGACCAAACCACACACTAGAAGGTGAAGGGACGACGACGTTTCGGTCAATCCTGGACCATTCTCAAGTCGATTGTCAATTACACAATCGACTTGAGAATGGTCCAGGACGGACCGAATCGTCATCGTCCCTTCACCTTCTAGTGTGTGGTCTGGTCAACATTCTGTCTGAATGATGCATATTATATATGATGAACATTATGAATGATACATGTAATGAATGATGCAAGAATAATCACAAAAACACGTGATTCAGTTATGGATCAATATCTGCATAGGGAAATGAAACGAAGATCATCCGCGGGCTTGCGTGTCAACACATTTTCAAGGTTGTACATATTCACTACGAATGTTTTTTTCGTGATGAATCATGAAAACGCTCTTATTATTTTCGTTGTATATTTCGTATGGGGATACTTGAGCGTTTTGAATGATACGTATTAATCATGACACATTATTTATAATACATTTTATGCATGACACGTGTTATTTATGATACATATTTTGCATGACACGTGTTAGTTATGATACATGTTATGCATGACACGTGTTAGTTATGATACATGTTATGGATGACACGTGTTAGTTATGATACATGTTATGGATGACACGTGTTAGTTATGATACATGTTATGCATGACACGTGTTAGTTATGATACATGTTATGGATGACACGTGTTAGTTATGATACATGTTATGGATGACACGTGTTAGTTATGATACATGTTATGGATGACACGTGTTAGTTATGATACATGTTATGGATGACACGTGTTAGTTATGATACATGTTATGGATGACACATGTTAGTTATGATACATGTTATGGATGACACGTGTTAGTTATGATACATGTTATGGATGACACGTATGGTAATTATAATCTAAATAAATTGTAAAATATAGCTAGCATGCACTTCAAGAAAGAATAAAGGGGATACATAATGAGTCTTAGCCATCAGTCTTGTCCAGCCGAGCTGATTCCTTGTTTACTGGGTCATTGGACTATACTGGCTAGGGTCAGGTTGATGAAACTTCAAGTACCTGTTGGCATTTCATCATATCAGTACATAAAGATTAAAAGATAAAACAATAATAAAAATGAAACAATCAGGGTGACGGGGTGAGAAAGAGATATGATAGAGATCACCTACATGGTGATCATGTCTCCGCTAATTCTTCTTTCTCCCAGTGACGTGAGGTTTAATTCCCGGAGTCTCTGTTCGTAGCTCATACCCCCTCAGTTCGGGTACTAGTATGGTGGCAAACCTTTGAACCTTTTTCAGTTTAGTCTTATGCTTGACTAGATATGGATTCCATGCTGGAGCAGCATACTCCAGGATTGGTCTGATATATGGGGTACACAAAGTTCCTAAAGATTCCTTACACAAGTTTCTAAAGGCCGCTCTTATGTTAGCCAACCTGGCATATGCCGCTGATGTTATCCTCTTGATATGGGCTTCAGGAGACAGGTCTGGCGTGATGTCAACCCTTAGGTCTTTCTCTCTCTCTGACTCTTGAAATAGTTCATCTCCCAAATGATACTTTGTATCTGGTCTCCTGCTCTCTACCCCTGTCTTCATTACATTACATTTGCTTAGCTTAAACTCTAACAACCGTTTGTTCGACCATTCCTGCAGCTTGTCCAGGTCTTCTTGAAGCCTCAAGCTGTCCTCTTCTGTCTTAATCCTACTCATAATTTTGGCGTCGTCAGCAAACATTGAGTGGAATGAGTCTATACCCTCCGGGAGATCATTTACGTATATTAGAAAACAATAGGTCCGATTACAGAGCCCTGAGGACTCCAGTAGTGACTTCACGGCATTCTGAGGTCTTCCCCTCACTGTAACTCTCTGCTTCCTATTGCTTAGGTACTCCCTTATCCACTGGGGCTCCCTTCCAGTTACTCTCGCCTGTTTCTCCAGCTTATGTATCAGCCTTTTATGTGTGTGTGTGTGTGTGTGCGTGTGTGTGTGTGTGTGTGTGTGTGTGTGTGTGTGTGTGTGTGTGTGTGTGTGTGTGTGTGTGTGTGTGTGTGTGTGTACTCACCTAATTCACCTATTTGTGCTTGCAGGGGTTGAGCTTTGTCTCTTTGGTCCCGCCTCTCAACTGTCAATCAACTGGTGTACAGATTCCTGAGCCTACTGGGCTTTATTATATCTACGTTTGAAACTGTGTATGGAGTCAGCCTCCACCACATCACTTTCAAGTGCATTCCATTTATTAACTTCTTTGACACTGGAAAAAATTCTTTCTAACGTCTCTGTGGCTCATCTGGGTACTAATTTTTCACCTGTGTCCCCTTGTTCGTGTCCCACCCGTGCTGAAGAGTTTGTCTTTGTCCACCCTGTCAATTCCACTGAGAATTTTGTTGGTGGTTAAAGAGTTATCCTTATCTACCCTGTTAATTCCCCTGAGAATTTTGTAGGTAGTGATCATGTCTCCCCTTACTCTTCTGTCTTCCAGTGTCGTGAGGTTCATCTCCCGCAGCCTTTCCTCATAACTCATGCCTCTTAGTTCTGGGACTAGCCTAGTGGCATACCTCTGAACTTTTTAAACCTTTGTCTTGTGCTTAGCAAGGTACGGGCTCGATGCTGGGACCGCCAACTCCAGGATTAGTCGTACATATGTGGTATACAAGATTCTGAATGATTCCTTACACAAGTTCCTGAAGGCTGTTCTGATGTTAGCCAGCCTCGCATATGCTGCAGATGTAATTCTTTTTATGTGAGCTTCAGGAGACAGGTTTGGTGTGATATCAACTCCTAGATCTTTCTTTCTGTCTGTTTTATGAAGTACTTCATCTCCTATTCTGTATCCTGTATCTGGCCTTCTGTTTCCACCGCCTACTTTTATTACTTTGCATTTACTCCGGTTGAACTTTAGCAGCCATTTGTTGGACCATCCGTTCAGTCTGTCTAGGTCATCTTAAAGCCTCCTACTATCATCCTCTGTTTTAATCCTCCTCATAATTTTTGCATCATCAGCAAACAGGGAGAGGAACGATTCTATACCCTCTAGTAGATCATTTACACATAACTGAAACTGTATAGGTCCAAGGACTGAACCCTACGGTACTCCAGTGGTGACGTCTCGCCAGTCTGAAACTTCGCCCCTCACAGTGACTCTCTGTTTTCTGTTGCTTAGGTACTCCCTTATCCAATTGAGTACCTTCCCTTTAACTCCTGCCTGTATCTCTAGCTTTTTCACTAGCCTCTTGTGTGGTACTGTGTCAAAGGCTTTCTGACAGTCTAGAAATATGCAGTCTGCCCACACCTCTCCTTCTTGCCTGATTTTTGTTGCCTGGTCGTGGAATTCAATTAATCCTGTGAGGCAGGACTTGCCATCCCTGAACCCATGTTGATGCTGTGTTACAAAGTTCTTTCGCTCCAGATGTTCCACTAGCTTTTTTCGCACAATCTTCTCCATCATCTTGCATGGTATGCAAGTTAGTAACGCTGGCCTGTACTTCAGTGCATCCTGTCTATCCCCCTTCTTGTATATCGGGACTACATTAGCCGCTTTCCAAATTCTTGGCAGTTCCCCTGTTGCCAGTGATTCGTTATGCACTATGGAGAGAGGTAGGCACAGTGCTTCTGCTCCTTCCTTAAGTATCCAAGGGGGAGACTCCATCTCGACCTTTGTCACATCCAACTCTAGTAAAAGATTCCTTACTTCCCCACTGGTAATCTCAAACTCTTCTAGTGGAGGCGATGAGTCACAATAACGTGGCTGAAGAATGT